GCGACCGACTCTGATGATGGAAACGAGAGTGTTTCCGAAACGTCAGTCTGAATACAACCTGGTCCATGAAATCGATTTCTCTTCTTCATCTTCCTCGGGGGATGATAAACACGATATATATATATATATATATATATATATATATATATGGCTGATAGAAGCGAAGATGCGCGTTCCCGGACATAAATGAGAAGAGGCGATCTCGGGAACCATATTTATACTGCGCTGACGTTGCAAAAGCAAACAAGCTTTCATCCTCGGAGGTGAGTATTGTACCGCGCTTCACAGTACTTATAGGCGGTGACGATCTTGTTACAACGGGTTTACGTCTATTCGGGGGCCATCGTTCGGACGCTAGCTGTCATCGCACGTGTTTGCATTGACCTTAGCTCTCGTCCTAGGCTGGCAATCTACTTTGTCACCCCGCAGCCACTTGTGTTCTCACCTGCCGCATGAGTGGCAGTGATGATAGCGCCTTTATAGGGTCCGTTAGCGTTACTGAGATCGTTTGTCCTCACACCTGCCAGATAAGTGGACGACGCGACTGTAGTGACGGTCGCACTTTCGTCAGATTAGGGTTGAAGTACAGCTGCGCGTGTGTCCCCTAAGGACTCTGCCGTACTTGGGTTTCTGTCTTGTCGCGGCCTGACTCTGCTGTTCTGTTCAATGAGCTGCGTCCTGAGGGCCTGGTAAGCCTCGGGAAGCGCTACACTGCGGTTGATGGAGTTCGCGCCAGTGTGCCAGGCCTCGATTGTTTCCCTCGTGATGCGGTCATTTCACCGGCCCAGGATTTCAGCATTCTGGAAGGCGAATGTGTGTCCAGAGTTTGCGCAGTGTTCTGCCACTAGAGACAGTGGGCACATCCGCCTAACTGCCCTCATGCGCTCTCCAACACGGGTCTGCAGTCGTTTGCCGATCTCTCCAATATAGTTCATTTCACAGGAACTGCACTGGATCCGATAAATGACGTTCGTTGTTTCGCCGCGTGGTAGGGAGGTCTTAGGTCTCATGACCAGATTTCGAATTGCTGATTCTGGCCGATGGACAATGCCAATCCCTAGTGGTCTTAGGAGACGGGAGACCGCCTCGGAGACGCCGTCCATGTAAGGAAGTGCACGCCAAATTTTTTGCCGTCCTGTCAACGAACTTTGGCTTGGACCAGGCTGCCTGTTGCGTTCTATTTAGGTGCGAGGATAGCTGAAACACACTGCAGCGAGCCAGACGACAAAAGGTTAAAATTACGCAACCTCCAGCGCCTCTTCATGGCGATCGGCTCTCCTCGCAACAGTCCGATCCCTCACAAGCGGAGTACTGTCAAAAGTTTGATACATCGAGCAAAACACATTGCTCTGATGAAGAAAGGTACAAAGTTGAACTAAACTACCTATTTGAATTATTTTCCCAGAACGGTTCCCCTAGAGATTTCGTACGTCGATGCATGAGACAACAAGAGATAAAAACAAAGGTACTTGATAGTTCCCATCAAGCGCCCAAAGCGAACATTTGGCGAATCCTTCTTTACATCAGGAATGTGTCTGAACTCGTTGAAAGACACTTGAGGAAACACCAGATAAAAGTGACGCATAAGCCGACGACTACTTTACGCACCCAGCTTGTACACCCTAAAGATAGGTTTGGCTAACTTGATAGAAGAGAAGTCGTTTATAAGATTCCATGCGATGCCTGTGATGTTGTATATTGTCGCCAAACGGGAAAATTTGCCTTTACACGCATCCACGAACATTAACTTGCAGTCAAGAGGCGAGACCACTTGTCTCAAATGGCCATGCACACTCTTGATACTGGGCACATTTTCGCATGGGACAAAACTCGCATCGTCAGAGTTTGCCCATCTAAAAAACGCCGAGAGGTTCTTGAAGCCATGCACTCCGATGAGTCATGCATCAACAGACATATCGAGTTAGGTGCCACGTACAAAAATCTCAAAGAAAAGTGGAAGAGGCGAAAGCCGATCAATACGGACAGACGCATACGACGGCAGCTTACTGGCGGAAGCACCAAATGAGTATTGATTTTGTAGGATGTTTCAAATTTTAATTGTTTTCTGCACATTTACTCTAGTCTGACGACGACATGGAAGACCGACGTCGAAAATTTACTCAATAAAGTTTTCTCTCTTTCCCAAAGAACGTGTTTGGCTTGGGTATGGCTGGCTGACGACGGCTAATAAGCCAGAAATGGCCATTTCAGTCTCCCTTGTCTTTGTCGGTAATATCATTCTGCCTAGATTTCATATATACATATATATAGCAGCGAGGAGGGACGACAGAGAATGCGGGTAGATTGATACAGCACTGTTTCGGGCTTATTCTGCCTTCATACAGCCAATCATAACCCTGACCACCAGCAGCTGAGACCAGAAACACAAACATGCGCACAGACGCACCTGGCGCAGTCGGTCCACCACTGAGGCCTACCAGATGGGTCATAAGCACTCCTCGCTGCTATTATGACTTGGCCGACTGCGGCCTGGTAATTGGTTGCCTGTTCGTGACCTTTGCCACACATACGGAGCTTGTTTGCTTTGTGAAGCCAATAGATCGGTGTGCGCCCATTCCTGATTGATATATATATATATATATATATATATATATATTATGATAGTGGGCGCTCACCGATCAGGTTGCGGAACATGCTCGTTCCGTTGTGCCTTGGGGCTCATACTTAAACCCTCGGTGAGCGCCCACTATCATAATTAATATTCCCGATCACAACCGACAGGACAACGGGCCCGTGGCTCAATGGTAGAGCGTTCAACTCCATGACCAAAGATCCCGGGTTCGAATCTCAAGTGATCCACACTTGGGGTTGGGTATGACTGGCTGATGACGGCTACTAAGCCAGAAATGGCCATTCCGGTCTCCCTTGTCTTTGTCGGTACCATCTCATATATATATATATGTGTGTGTGTCTGGTGAAGCCAAACCAAAATCTTATGTTTGTGTGGGAAAATATATGCGTGCGCTTGGGTAGTGCGCAACTCACCTAATGCTCGCTGATATTTATGATGAAGCTAAAGTTCTCTTCTCTAGGGAACTAAACTAGGAATTTCGTATGAAGTGTTTTTTTCACCGCCGAAATATACTGCTTGACGGCTCCACGGATATTCACCCTGTCTAAAAGCATTTTCACCACCAGGCATACCTCGCTTATATCCAGGGAAAATTGCGCCAGCAATCGGTTAGCTGTAAACTTTGGCGAAGAGGGTCACAAGGAGAACATAGACTTTATATCTTTTCTCGGACGGAATTAGCCGGCATAAGCTTGCGGTAATTGATGTATAACTACAAACGGATATTGATATTCAACATGAGAACCGTCCATCTAAGTTAATTCTACGCTCACCGTATCCACAAGGTATGGTTTAAATTGCCTAAGACAAGAAAGTCTCTAACAGATTTCTAATCCGAATGCTACTTTATGGTTATTGGCATGACTACTTTTTAACATGATACAATAAGGTATAGGTGGACTTCACAAAAAATTCTTTAAAAAATTCGAGACAATTTCATAGAGCTGTTTCTGTAAAAATTACATAAAGAACGGATTATGGGTCTAAAGGTTGGGGGGAAGAATACCAAGATCGAGCAGCCTTTTGTACGTTTCAATTTCTTGTTCGGTGTCAAATGTGCGTTCTGCGTCCCAATCATTTACAAGGCTTTCGGACAGTTTTGAAGCAAAGTCGACAAGCAGGCCTTCGTAACGCAGACGCGATTCGGTCATAGCATCTCTACACTGTTTGACTTCCGCCTCCTTCGCCTCCAAGGCTGTTTTAGCAGTTATTCTCGTTGACTCTAACTCCTCTTTCAGACGGTCTCTCTCCTCTGTTAGTTTTGCATTCAGTGCGATGAGTTCTCTGTTCTTCTCAATGAACTTTTGTGTGGTTTTTTCTTGTTGCAGAGCCATGAAAGCAGAAACTTGTCTGGCCTCTTCGGTTGAAAATGCAACTTTCTCCTCTAAATTTGTCTGACGAGTTAAGGCATTTTCACAGCTCGTCTGAGCCTGCATGGTCTTCATTCGCTCTTGATTTATCTGCATTTGCAATTCAGTTGCATGTCTTTTCGTCTGTGCAAGCTCCTTAGTAACCAAGTCATCACCAGAAGTCTTGGATTTCTTTTTGGACTTTCCTGTAGCGCTTCCTTTTTGCTTTGGTGGCATTTCAGGCAACCAGCGTGATCTAAGTGTACATAAGTTATTGTGACTTTTACTAGATATCTGTTTATTTAAAGGCATGGTTTGATAACTATTTAAATAAAAACACAAACGCCAACTTGCCGCACTAAACAAAATGCATTTGCAATATTTTTTTATCTGTATGCAGGTACACTTGCATAAAGTCGTACTGGCATAGGCTCAAAGTGCAAAATTCAGCCGCTGGCTAAGGTCATTAAACATTCAGTGATTTCCTTATTTTTGGTAGGGCGAGCTTTTAAATCTGTATAAATGCAAACGTCCTATTTGCATATGGCCCAATCAGACTAAGCCCGTCGGCAAATAAGTTTAAACAATTTATAGGTAGCAGTACGTATTTTTAACGTATAAAGATCCGTTGAAAGTTTTGGTGTAAACGCACTAACTGATGCCGTGCAGTTTTTATTTTAGTAACAACTGAGATGTCAGGCTAGGTTAATAGAGATTTATGCAGAAAAAAACAGATACATAAAATATCCATAATTTGCGATTTACATACTCGACAATTTTTCAGATCAATAAAATATTATTCAAATCTATATTATTTCTCCAATTTGCACTCTATATACTCGGCGCGTATTGCATATGCAACCTGCAACGTGATTTGTGCATGCAGAAAAAACAAAGACATTTTACTAAAAAGAACGCAAAAATTATTGAGAATGGTCATCCAAATAGGCAAACATGGGAGATACCAAACACATTGGGTTTTTTATAGCATTCGTTTTCTTCTTCTCGGTAAAGTCTTTAAAAAATAGGCGAAAGGGGAACAACAATAGATTTATAATTTAAGGTATCCACAACAGCGAACTGTTCATTGACATCTATAAAATTAAGTAAAGCTTAAATATCTCAAGTTTGTTTTTTGATTTTTTCGCGGGTAAGTCAATGTTTGTATGAGTTAGAGGATGTATTTGCATTTTTTTAAAAGCACTGTCTTGATCTTTAGCTATCATTGTTTAAAAGGGTTAAAGGCATTCTTAGACGATCTTCAAGTGGTTCTAAAAATAGTGTTTATATCTGCATTTTCTTTTCGAAAGCTCAAAATGACAAAAGCGTCTAGATACAGTGGCTAAAAGTATTCCTTTTTGCTAGACATCTGAGGATCCAATTGCCTTCGTTATACTATAATAGTTGTAATGAACTGTTTATTTGCCAATTGAGCCTCAAAGAGCTCAATACTCGACTCTAATCTGACTGTGACTGTTTGTTTACTAAATGTTCAGTGTATACGCAGAAATTCGTTCTGCCGATTTTGGTTCATTTGCTTTTTATATGCGCAGTAAACATGAGTGCATCCCATATTCGGTGAACGAGTTTTAATATAATGCAATCCTTTTAAGTTGGCTTTGAGTCGAAAAATTAAAACCGTTTCTTTACTGCGGACTACAAGTTCCTGGGAAATAACAGCGCGCTGTTATTTCCCAGGAACATCTACAGGGAAACGAAAAATTTATTCTGCTGAATTGCGTGGCTTATGAATATTCAGGACGACTTTTTAGACTCGAATTTGTAAAACGAACTTCATCGTTCAAAACCATTATCTGAAGGTATATGCATAACAACCGAGGTAATCGTGTAAAACGTGCATATTTGAGATAGTTAAAATTTGAATAGTTTTTTGCCATTTTTAATTTTTACCCTTTGTTTTTACACGCGATTCATGGAAACGTGGTAGGAACGACTCGAAATGTTAATGTGATTGCGGAAAAAGCTTTTTCCGTAATCACATAAAGATTTTGAGTCCTAGGATATTGTAGTAGTCTCTTTAAGTCTTCGAAAATAGGACAGTTTTACCTCATCGAACTTCCTATTTACCGTGATTACCTTTAAAAAATTACGTTTAGACTCTTAAGTAAACAGTAAAGATCCTCAATAAGAAGCTAAACGAGATTTTTATTGCGTCGTGGTGTTTATTACGTACATTTTATTTCTGCTAGTTATTCTAATGGTGTATTTGATACAACTTTCATTTATCGAGATGTAATCTGAAATAAAGTTCAGGCTTATATATTGTCCTGCAGGCCTATATTGATATATATCGCACCTTTTTTCTGTTTAACCTTCCACTATCAACATCTGTAGGTCTCTGATTTGAGGTTCAAGTAAGTTCTGTCATTACTGTTGAAACCCTTATGACCAAAGTATTATTTCAATATATTAAAATTTAATTAACACCTATTGAGTCTTTTTGGTCACAGTTGCATTGTTTTCATAAACGCACTGATTACATTGCGGTTGGGAATACTAAAATTGGTTAATCTAAACAAACAGTCAATTTCCTGAGCGGGAATAAGAAAAAACGTTTTAGTTTCTCAAAAGACCTTTATCGCACTGCCTCTGAATAATACTCCGACCTGAACTCGATACCGAAAACTGAAAAGGGGCGAATTCAGTATACACGGAGATTCCTGTTTAGTAAGATGTGTATCCCTGACGAGTTCGGTGTACTTTTTAATTTTCGAAAGCCATTATAGTTAAGGCCATCAAAAATACCCTCTTTAAAACAATGGTTCATCATATACTGTTGTAACTGACATTTAATAGGTCTTAACTAAAATAGTTTTGCATTATGTATGGGGCCTAAATCATTTATTGATAGCTAAGTCCCAAAATCACTCGATTATGGTTTCGAGGTAAACCTTTCCTCGGTTGGATTACGAGCCGGGCGGAAAACCAATGATCCGAGAAGAGAACACGCTGTAAGCGGAATGTATAGACAGGGTGAAGGAGTGTTAAACCTAATACCTAGGCTAATATTTCATGTTAGGTGACATTCGATGCGTTGGAAAATGGGCATAATAAAATTTAGACCCTACCTACCGGACGAGTGCGGAATCCTTTGTACCAGAGTAGATAAAATCGCGAACTTAAAAACTTATTGGACGAAATCTGGACTCATAGTACGGTTGGCAGAGAAACGTCGGTCTCTTCGCAAACAAGAGATAGCAAACGAGTCGCCCATCCTTCAGGAGCGTTAGTAACGAATTTAGCAACCTTAGTAAAGTCAGAAGTAAAGAGTAAACGTCAAAGTTAATATCTGTCTGAGTTAACCTCTTAAACAATTACAAAGCTTTGACGAGAATCCTTAACTGCTGCTCGTAAATCAGGTTACCATACATCGAACTGCACTAGCTTGGACTTGCAGATGAAAAGTAAAGTGTGCATGACTCATGCGAGTGATTACTGGTAGTGGTCAACGACAGTTTGTGCCCCAATTCAAGAATCAAAATATTTTTAATATCGAACATTCCCGAAGTTTAAGCAATGCGTTATCGAATTGGAGACTACTGAATCACGTATCGCCAATTACTGCGGATTTTGAAGGAAACTATTGTCGAGTTTGGGTGTCTCCTTCTACAGATGATCGTTAAGCATTTCGCTTTTCCAGAAAGGAAAAATCGGATGATTTTCTAAAGCTAAGCAGCTCAGAAGCCAAATATTTCTCTAAAAGAGCATCTCTGACGCAAAGACAATTTCGAGGACGTAATCCACGGAACAATATTTTTCATGCTGGGTCTATCAGACGTGCGGACGCTGCCCAGCTGAATCTTTCCAAAGACTATCTTGAAAAATTATGTTCGTCTACCGATGCAAGGGCAGTACCAGAAGAATATAGGATTCAACCTGTACCTTGGTCTTCAGCTAAAGCACAAACTCTCTTTACTTATGAGAAGATCGTGGTCAAGTCACTGGTTTTAAACTTGAAGATAAGTTGACGATATTATTTAAGTGGTTTTTCTAAGAGGTTTAACGATTTTAGCCCCTGTTTTTTTATTAAACTCCCTTCAATACAGGCTTATTCTCTCAGAGTCACCGGTTGCCATTTCCTTTTTGATTTTTGATAGCCTGTGCTTGCTGACCACAAGCTGCATTCTGCAATTCGCATTTTCAAAATTCGATTTCTCTCTGTGTACATTTTCTTTTTTCCCACCGTTAGCTTCTTGCTGAAATTCAGTCCCGTAGTCTGTCAGAAGTTTACTTTATTGTAACTTACCTCGAGACAAGATCAGGGCAAAAGTCACAGGTCGACCTCTGCGCCCAGGAGTGGCTGAATTAGATCCAAGTCAGAGGGCAGTACTACTCAGTTGTCACCCGTTGTAACTGATAGGCAAATTTATCTGTCGGCACTTCACAACTGCAATGATTTTATGCTAAAGTTCAGTATTTTGCTCTCATTTCCTGGAAAATTATTCGACGGGAACATCTCCGATATTCCCTCTCAAGAAGGCAAACTTCTTGACTCACTTATCCATCTGCTCGCAAGTGAATCTAGTGATAGACAAAATCGAGATTATAATTATTTTGTTTAAAATGTTCCCCGATCCGCACGGCCAGTTGAGGTTGCGACTGATATCCTGTACTCGTGTGGTTATAGCTGAAAATTAGCTATCGCACAATCCCTGTCCTCCCGTAGCGAAAATTCGCCCGTCTTTGGAAAGTCTTTTTCTCCAATCGAGGTCGACTCAATCTTTGCACATCGAGATCGTGTCTCTGCGTACCTGTAAAATGCAAAAATTTTTCTCTGTCATGATCTTGTTCTCATAGGGCGTATAATCGGTTCCCTCTTCTCGCGTAAACCCACTGCTTCTCAATCAAATTGTCGCCAACTCGATCATAGTGCAAGTGACCTCGATGATTCAGCTAATCCTACTCCTAAGATGTCTGACTTCCTCCTCCCCTTCACTTCTGCACCTCCCTCTCATTCAGGCCACTTGAGGCGTTAGCTGTCCCTAAATTAGCGGCAACAGCCCCAGCTGCCGTTCCTAATCCTCCAGATAACACCCGTAGGACGCATGGAAATCCGTCTACATCAGCTAGACCGATAACTTCCACATTTCGACAGGGCCCTACGAACTCTACAGTTAGGCCACCTGTGGCATAGCATCAGAACGGTGAGAGTCCAAAAGTGAATCTGACTCCGGTCCAAAAGAAAGATACCACAATTCCATTTAAGGGTTTGCCCACTCCTATTGGACCTACTAAGCATTTGCAGCCCAGCTCATCTAAAACCCCGCAGTTCCAATTATACCACCAAATAATTCTCTGTCATGTGTGACGGTTACTTACCAAAGTCCTACTATACATCCAGCAAACAATTCATGCGTAAATTGCCCTAAATCCTTTATCTCCCAACTTAGTTCGGGCTTCTCACCAATTAAGGCCAGCTGTTCTCAGGTAAGTCAACCTAACCGCTTTGACTTCCAACCTAGACCTGGTCACCCACCCTTTTGTTCTTATAGCTGTCGACCCTCCCCCACCAGCCTAACCCACCTTCTAGGCTCCCTCATTCTTCTTCCCCTCCTTTACAAGTTGCTTACTAACAAAACTATCCCTGTTTTAACTCTCCCAGCTTTCCAGTACCCGAAAACTATATCCTCACATCCTTTAGGTCTCATGCCCAGCCTTTTCTTGCTGACTCGCCGTACATCAATAACTCCAGATCAACTGATACTTATTCACCAAACATCGCTAGTTCACAGCTTCCATATCCGCCTCCTGATTTTTCTTTCCGTAATACAGTCGACGATAGGCTTGTTGTTCGACATACATTAGATATTATATTATAGAATGTCGGGTTTGTTATAAACAAGATAGCCAAAATCAGAGGTATCGTCCTCGAAAGGACGCCTGATATTAAATGCATAACAGAATTTTGGACCCATTCTCTAATTCCTGACTCTGTCCTTCTCATAGAAAGGCAATTATTGGCTGTGTATGTATATGTATATATTGAAGGGTTACAGGCAGAGCCCTTGATGACCCTATTTATGTACAGTGCTTTCGCAGATTCATACTCAAAAATAAAATTAAATTGCAGGAATTTAAAATGTGATTGGTTCACAGTTCAATCGTAATCATAAAGTAGTGCATGGGACCCTGTAAGTCTGTGCGGGAGATTGTATATGACAGATTTTACAAGGCTGGCTGTGCATAGTCATGCTGTAAAAGTCGATTTCTGTCGAAAACTAGACGAGCAAGTTTTCTTTTAAACACACAAACCGTGTCAGCCGTCACCATCTCGCTTGGAAGCGAGTTCCACGGTCTGACAACCCGCTGGCTGAATGAAAATTTT